GCATTGCATAATCCGAACGGCATTGTTACGAATTGGTACAGTGGTCGCCCCGGCACTGTAAACGCCGTATATGGTTTGCAACTCTCCTCCAGCTCAATTTGCCAAAATGCGTATTTTAAGTCGACGCTGCTTATGAAATGGGTGTCATCTATTCGGCTGAGTATGCCCTCGATGTTTTGTAGTGGATATGCGTCTTTTACAGTCACGGCATTTAGTTTACGCGCATCCAGGCAGAAGCGATTCTTTCCGGGTTTACGGACGATTGTCGTACGATTGCTCCACGGGCTTTCACTTTCTTCGATCACCCCCAATTCTAGCACCTTGTCGACTTCAGCATACACGATTGCTTGCATCGCCGGAGACAATGGATAGTGGCGGTCTTTTATGGGTACTGCCTCATCGACCAACTTTATAGAGTGCTTTTTCAACTGAGTACGTCCCAATCCGTGCTTTTCGTAAGTTTTAAAACCACTCGCCACCAGCTCCAAGCGTTCTTTTTGGTCTGCCGAAAGGCTATGCAACACGCGCCGCTCATTCCTGTCTTCTTCGGACACCATCTCTTGTTCTAACTTGGTCAAATCAATTTCATTCACGGATATCACTTCTGGGGCCAAACGGAAAGCGCGCCAGAAGTCCACCCCAAGGTAAATCTTTTGCTCTAGGTATGGGCATAAAAAAAATGTAATGTTCTGTTCTAAGTTTTTATATTTCACAGGTATGGTGAGCTTGCCTAGCACATTGTGCGCGCGACCGCCTGCGGTTTTTACACAAGAGAAGTAATGTTCGATTGGCGCGCCTATCTCTTCCGCGAACTCGCGACAGGCCCGGCCCAGAATGCTTACGGACGCCCCAGTGTCTAATAAGCCGCGTGTCAATACCCCTTTTATTTCTATGTCTGCGTAAACGCGCGGATCCTGTTGATCCGCGTTTCTTATCGACGCTACGACTTTTTGCCGCAGTGTTTTCCGCTGTTGGAATCTTTCACGGGTCTTTTGTATTCTTCGCGACACTCCTCGGCGTCCCATTAGGGCACTAACCGCGATAATTCGTCGGCGCGTTTCGAGATAGTTCCTTAGTCTATCTTCGTAAGATGGCCTACTCCCATTACTTGTTATTGCTATGTTTCCCTTATTTACTGTTTTACTAGAAATAATATTTTTCGTTTTGGTTTCAGATAAGTTTGCAGCACGGCTCAACTCATCGCCTGCTTGTGTATTCGTAGAGGCGTCTAATCGTGCGGGGTTTGAGTGGAGCGCGATTCCCCCGTCGTAATCGCGTTCCGTACTGAGTTTCCCGCAGGATTACACGTTGGACACTTAGGTGTTATCACATCCAACTTTCCGCACTTGAAACAAAAAATTCGACGTTGAAGCGACATGCATTCGGTGAAAAAGTGGCCTTCGGCACCCAGCATGACACATTTTTGCGCCCGACTGGTGGCTTAGCTGAGCGTAGATGGCGTATTTCCTCCACGGTGACTTGACCCTCATCACCGGGAGTAAAACGCTCATCGTCTTCGAGTGAAGCGATTTCATTTACATGCTGTGCGCGTTGCCCAAAGTTACTAGAAATCACGCGTTCCCGACGCGGAAAACATCGTTCTACCTCTTGGCATTCTAGCCTGAGCTGTTCCAGAGAGTATGCCGAAATCGGGTAAACTATCTTGGCCAGGGATTCGCGCAAGTTGCTTTTCACTAACCTTATTATCTCGTATTCAGCGATGGGATTCCTAAGGCGCGCGCGCAGTGTACCAACCACATGAAAATATTCGTCGATGGTCTCCCCTGGCCTTTGCTTCCGCTCCGTTAATTCTCTCAGGATTTCAAAGTCGGTTCGTTGTGATGCGAATTGGCGTCTGAGCGCAAATTGTAAACTGGGCTAGTCGACCTTACCGTGGGAACGGATATACAGCCAGTACCACTCACGCGCCTCTCCGCCCAATAGCCGATGGAAATCGCGTAATATCTCGCCCCACGAACACACGTATTGCTCTTTTAAGTACTCTAAACGGAACAAAAAATCCTCGATAGACATAGAATCGCGATGACCCTGATAATTTATGCCCCATTTTTCGATATTGATTTCCGATTTACTAATTTCCTTGTTTTTTTCTCTTCCAGATGCCGGACGAGCGACTTCGGAGACAGCTGCTGGAATCCCTGCACCTGCTATTGGCGGTTGGCGAGGTGGTGGTGGCTCCGCGAAGGCGCATGCATACGCAGCCGAATGGGACATTGCACCGTAATTATTTCTGTTTGTATGGTTTTGATTAATATTGTTGTTTCTATGTAGTTCTCCTGAGCGTCCGGAATTAAATGAATCGATACTGGAGTTGTGTCTTGCTCTTTTGTTGTTCCGATTTCGCGATCTATTACCGAACCATGACGATTCCATTTCTGCACCTGTCGTTCTGCTCAAACCGGGCAAGCTATCGCGCATCTCTTTTAAGAGAGTGTTTTTTACCTCAGCCACCATTTCCTTTAAAACCGGCGCTAACTCGTTGCGAAAATCTCTCGCGTTGGTTAAACTGTTTGAGGACACCAGGTTGGCGTCGCTATTGTTAGTGGACGGAGGATGGGGAAAGGTCAAGGTGGGTGTTGGCACTCCCACTGAGTGGGTTATTTGCAACTCTTTATGTTGTTTTGGGACCGCCCCTGTAATGCGATCTTGATTCCCTGGTAAATTATTGGAGTCTCCCTGCCTGATATCTCCACCACTTGCCCCAACATTACCGCCCCCAATTCGATCCGAGAGATCTATAAACGCTGGGTCGTTTGCGCATGGCGCTTTAGGGTTTGGCACATTCGCTGAATGCATAGCAGCGTTTCTAGTTTTAGAGCGCGTCTTGTATGGTATGGACACACCTTTCATCCGCGTGATATCTTTACCTATAGCCCTCAATTTACTCTTTTTGTTCTTTAAACCCGTCTGATCTACATGCGGGAGGTTCAGATGACTTCGGGGTTTCAAATTATTATTATTATTATTATTATTATTTTTTTTTTTTTTTGAATTTATAGTCGTGATTGGAGCAGACCTTATCATTCCTGTGGGAGCGTATGCTCTTTCTGTAACTAAAAATGTCGGTGGATTATTTATTTATTTCTTTTGAAGATCTATCGCGTTATGCTACACAATTGTTTGGACATTTGCGGTCACAACGTCTCTTTGCATTCCAAGCACTTATTGCTTTAAGCGATTCGGACTTGAAGAAGAAAAAAAAATTATATATAAGTATAGGCCAACTGAATCTACTGTCAAACTAAACTTTGTAACGTACACTTCTCTGACTTGCAAAAAAAAGCCATTAAGGCGATGCTTCTAGCCTGGACTTCTTCTATCCGACTATGCCATCGGTGGGGTATGGTCGGTGTCTGACCACCTGCTCCCCCGTTCCTATGCAGATGCCATTGAATTTGTGTGGGCTCCACCTAAACAAGTCACTGTTTTGGTAGGAGGTCACATATAGCCAGACCCGTTTGGTTGGATGAACGGATTGTATGTCGTATACTAACTAATAATTTCCTTTTTTTTTTTTTTTTTTTGTTGTTGGGTTGAAATACATTTATAAATAAATGAGCTGTATGTTTATTTCATCTGGTTTCTATTATTCCTGTCCTGATTTTTTGCTCAGAACATCTACTTTTCTGGCTCATTCGCGGGCGCCAATTTCAAACCGCGGCGCTGATGTCATCCCTATGTTTTAGTTTGGGCGCCATATTTAATATTGTCACGTACACGTACCTGCATATCCGCCATTTTTTCTGCCATCAATGTGGTTACCCATGCTAGCTCAGCATATGTTATTGGCGCGGTTCTCAACCCTTGGCCACATTGAGGCGAGGCGGATGTTCCAATCGTCATCTGCACATATCGTCTCACAGGAAGCCCACCCATCCTTGGACCGCTCTTTCCGGTTGTTCACTTCCGGCGGTTCCCCTTTTTGGTATTACTCCAATCACTTCATTCAATTTCTACCCTTGGTCATCTTCCCCTCCCTCCTATATCAATTTAGCCAGTCATTTAGGGCTCCTTTTATCAGTTTCAAATTATAACACAATATTTATTACATAACATTTCAAAAACTACACAGTTTATATTATACGAAAATACTTACATACTACACGAATCTCGACTGGTATTTCCTATCGCACAAAAAAAAACCAAACATGAAAGCGCAACTATGGCGCTGCAACATCCACAGGAAACTCTAACAGCCTACCTAAAAGAGCTCTCTTAAGCAGATATATATTTATGGTTTTCCGGGAGCCGGATCTTCTCAGCTCCAAAAAAAAATTCTTTAAAATTGGTATCGTTGGTTTGGCGTTTTCCTGGTTTGACGGGACACCGACAAAAATTACACCCGAATTAATAGTGAATAATTTGGAAACAGAAAATGTGTTAAAAAGAATATTAATATCTTAAAGCTATTGCCTTGACTCCGCCCCTGGATTTCCTCGAGCTCATTTCCCTGCTGCAGTTTATGGTCAAAAGCTTCACACAATGTTAATTAACATAGTGGTTGTGGCACATGCTGACCGACTCAACGGGTGACACCAATAAAATTTCCTGACGCTATGGCGATATGGGGCATTCCCTCTCAACACATTCGTAAAAGATAAAAAATTTCGCATATCTTAAAAATCTACCACTCACCAGCGAGTTGTGCCGCACCCTTCTGCATCCACGTACGGACGTACAAATTTAAACTCCTGGCACACTAGGGCAAATCACAACAAAAAAACAATAAATACCTAACTTGATCTTCTAAGCGTTTTTTTACTTACATCTCGCCGGGGGACTTCCTGCCTGTTCCACTGCCTCTAGCCCGTGGGTGCTCTACTCCTACAACCACTCCGTGGCCTTCCAAGTCCGGCCAAGTAGCCTTTCTTCCACTTTAGGAGGGTCCTTAACTTCCGGAATTGAGTCCTCTTGTGTTGGCGCGTTTATTTTCGGACCTTTCTGGCGCACTTACACTTAGTTTCCTCTCCTTACTTAGGATTTTTAGAAACTACAAAAAAACAGGACACTCCGCGGTATTTTTTTTTGTACGCCGCACCTTTTCACATTTTCCCGCACTGGATGTCGATTTCAATAACACGAGGCAGTTCTAACTTCTGGCCTACCGCTAACCCCTTTATATAGGCAGTTTTCAACAGCATCCAAAACACCGTTTTTACCGCATAGTCTTCATTGTTTTCTTTAGCCAATCACAATTGCGCTCACCCTACTTCTATCCCTTTCCCGGCGAGATACTTTATTCACCATACCTCGACTCACGCTCTGGCAACCCCCTTCATTAAAAGCTTTTATAATTTCCCATTGGGTAATTTTTCTTATTCATTCTGTTTTGTGTGACATTTACACACAAAACGACGAAGCCTAGGATTAATTGGTAAATATTAGGCATAGCACATAGAACACGTTAAGTTGCCTTTCTTTTTACAAAAAAAACATTTGTTTATTGCCC